ACAAACCACTTCACCTAGACGAATTGACGAAACCCTAATTCAAAAATACATACATACCCAACCTGGTTCTGATAGTAGCCACCGGCTTGGTTGAACCGTGAGGTTTGTTCAGAACTATGGCCTTTTAATCCAATCCTAAATAGGTAAATAAAGTTCGATAAATTGGACCCCGGTAGTTGTTACACATAGGGTTCCGCTCCCTTGCGGGTTGGGGTTTGGTTAACCGCGGGCTACGGTCGTCTCCCAAGGAAATTCCCTTGTTTTGACCTGGTTAATCTAGCTTCCATTAATTTACCCGTAAGCAAATGATTGATAGAGTTCTGTATTCTGTAGATTGCTTTATCGTCATTTGTTTGACGCACAATCTGGACTCAGACGTGTGGAAAATAGTGATAGTAATGACTAATAATAATAATGACACCGTAGAATGTGATCGAGTCACTGTCGGTGACGGTGTAGCAGTAGTTCTGATGGTCGGTCGACGCCTCCCCACCATAGTTAGACTTTTTGTGCAAACTCTTCGGTACAATAGATTAAACCACTGATCCCTCGATGACGCTCTGGACACACGGAGATCACGATTGGCATTCAATTGTTTCGAACTGTCCCGGACTAGGTATCCCCCTCCCCCCTCCCTCGGGTGTCAACTAATCGCACACTGGCGAAAAATTTGAACACGCACAAACGAATGGAAATGACAATGATGATGATGATGATGACTGACTGAATGAATGATGATGACTGAAGTCATCATGGTAATCAAGATATCATTCGATGAATTGAGAAAGATTCACAGATTGTCACATTAACCGGCACAAGATAGACATCTGGGATGTTCGAGGCAAGGGTGACGGGGGATGGGTTGGTGGAGCATGTATCTCTCTCTCTCTTTCACGCACATACACGGTTCGAATAAGATACGGCTTGTTCTCGATGGGAAAATTGGAAGTAATAGGTGTGATCTTTGGATGTTTGTGCGCCCAAACTGTGAAGATATATCCTGAAGTGACTAAAGGGACCAAATGGCCCAGATTTTCATATTCTAGCTCTACTTTCATCTCCATCGCCCCCCCCCTCCAAACTGCCCGGATCCGATTCCAGTAGGCATTCGAGGTGCAATGTAAAACACAAATAATGGGGTTATCTCCACCTAAAGAACTATTTTCCTTGTGAGGTTACAATATTTGAACCTGGAGTTACCATAGCATCACTGAGTCCGTGTTTGTTGTAATAAAAAAACTCTCATTAAATATGAGACGCAACGAGGGATGGAGGGGGGGGGTTACGTGGCTAACAGTCATGCTGAGTTTGCAAGATTAGAAACTAATATACATACATTATATATAATATAAAGTATGTAGTCGGAGTGGTGCCAAGGCCTAGCCTCAGCTTATGGCAATGTGTGTGCGGGTGTCAGATAGTACGTATAATTATTTCCAACGCACCCTATTAATCAAACTATACACGTGCGCAAGAGCGAGATAAACGGTGGTTCTGATTGACAGCCTTCGGTTGTTGTGATGATCACGTGGGAATATTTTTTATTCAGACCGTAGGAAAAATAAGATTGAGCGAACGGATGACGTTTATCGTGTCAATTATATTTTCTCGCAAAGATATCATTCTGTTTCTGAACTAACATTGAGCGTTTTTGCCGTTCCTCTCCACCGTATCCATTCCTCATTTGAATTGCATTTACCGATTACGTGTTAAATTACAGGTACACATAGATCCCGGTACCGGTTTGGAACACTGATCAAAATGATTGTGGGTGTTATTGCTCAATTTCTACTCGTTCGAACTCCGTTGCGTTTCACTGCGGGGTTTTGCGGGACGAGATCGATGCTCCGGTCAACCTGTTCATGAACTCAATTCAACCATCATTGCACGTGCCACTATATATTGGTCCAGTCAGACCGGGGAACTGCAAATACCAATCATTTCGGATTGCTCTAGTCAATCATGCGACTACGTATCCATCAGGCCCAGTTTGAAAGCACCTGTCTATACCGGCCTCATCACACAGGAGTCAGGGGGATAGATACACGGGAACTGCCCTAGCCACGCACAGGTCGGCGCTCAACAATTGGAAACAAACTACTATGGACCGGAGGGAAGAGGGGTGGGATGGTTCACCCATTTTCCTCGTAAAACAAAATCGGACTGGCAATGCACTCACTCTGTGCAACTCCGTCGTCCCTTGGATGCGTAATCACCGCGGTTCCGGACAATGTTCCGTTACCCCAGTCGCTCCCAGAACAATCGTGCTGACTGGGTTTCACTGTCATGTGACGGATCTGGGTTACTGTACACTGTCGTTATCCTACTTGGTCGATCAACAAAAGGAAGGTGTAAGCGGAAAACGTGAAACTTGGATGGCAGTGCCACCGTTTTAAACACTTAACCATATGCAAAAACTGAGATGGGACTCGAATAGGACTTAAATTGGACAGCTATGCCATGCGCGTATCACTCACTTGATCTGTACGTAGATTCGATCCCCGACCAGGAAGTTTATAATCGCGAAAAAAGAAGACAGATTCGTTCCATCGACGGGAATACATATTTGCCTAATTGGTGGAGCAAAGCTGATAGCTTAATAGCTTTTCATATTTTCCATAAATAACTCGAAACTGTTGGAATTTCATTTTTCTGTTTTCTCTCTCTCTCTCTGCATTTTATTGCATCATGTCGCTATGATTCAGTTGGTATGCCAATATTTAGATCACACTACAACAAAGGGGATTGGGTAGTGTGGGATGCACCATGGACATATTACTTCCGGTGGAAAAAACCCTCGCAAAGACTCAATACAGTAGAGTAAATTAAAACTGACAAGAAAAAAAATAAAGTTTAATCTTTTGCATGGGTTGATATCTTGTAGACAACAGTGTATCCCTTTTTGATAAAAAATAGTCCTATGGGTTCCAATGAAAACGCGGGAAGCGTTTAGGGAGGGGGGAGGGGGTCTTACGAATACAAAACAGAACTACCGTTTCCCACTTACCTCCAAATGCGTTTGGACCGAACATTCCAAGCGGATGCATCACCGACTGTTGTAATAATCCAACCGAGGGTGACGCAGCAGATGTTATGTCCCGTGTGGCAGGAATTGATATCTGGGTGGATGTTTGTAACGGACACGATGCGATAGCAGTGACTGGGTTCAGGGGGACTAATGAGTTGGAAAATAGGGGATAGCCTTCTAATGCGTTCGCACAAGTCACGGTTTGCAAAGATGATGATGATGACGATGTTCCAATCGGGGACTGATGCTCAAGTGAATGGGATGTGAGGCAGCTATTACTCGGTGAGTCTTTCTCGTTCGCATTCGATGTTCCGACAGTCACGGTCAGATCCAAGACCTCTGACTGATCTTCACGATTGCACGACAATTTGGTCTCGTTGTTCTCTGTGTCATCCAGATCCATGCTCGTGTTCTCATCACTATGACTCGAAGTGTTCAATGAGGACGAATGTGGTAATGCGCATGCGACGGATACATTTGGGGTCAGACTAAGTTCCGTTTTTTTCCGTTTAAAACTGATTTCGTACATCAGAGATGTATCGGTGGGACTGGATGTATCACATGGTATGGGCATAGTTTGACCGGTGCTAGACACAGGACTGGGACGTGAACAATGGGATGCGGGTGGTTTGTAAGCCAAACTATCCCCGACAATCGTAGCCATCCCCGTTGGAGTTCGCACACAGCTCCAGACAGCTCAGAGTGAGAATCAAATGGAGGTGGTAATTTAGAAAATATCCGCCAGATGGACTGAGGTAGTGTATGTCACGGGGAGACAAACAAGCATAAATTTACCATGTTTTTTATGTGAGACTCATATGTGTTTGTTGATTGTCACGCAGCCGTTTAGTTTGTGTCTGTCTTGAGTTAAAAATGGGACCACAAAACAACAACCATAGGTCCGTTCGTGTTCATTTAACCGCGAATGAATGAATTAGCAGACGGTTCGAGCGTGTGCGTATAACGTATACATTTATGCACCAATACTTGCGTAGCACAGTATGCTACGAACGCACACACGCACACACACACCTTGGTATGCCTCGTGCGCCTGCACTTAGTTGTGCGAATGCGCGAACACGCAGACTTGCATGAGTGTGCGTCCGTACTCGCCTCGTCTAGCTCGTGATTGGACCATGGTGGGATTTGATGTTTGGGATGAAAGCGCACTGGAAACAAACTGTGCGCGCCAATAGCGCGAACGCTGGTGCATCTGAGAGAGAGAGAGAGCAGGAGAGAATTATGCGCGACCCACATATACCAGCGATAAATAGCAACGGGTTAGACGAACGGTTGGAAGGTTTGGATGAGCATTTCAATTTGGGGAAAGAGGTGTGAACGTGGCGTGAAACGCTACATCATTCGCACAAGCGAGGCGAGCGAGCTAGAGAGAGAGAGAGGGAGCAAACAAGATGAATCAAAATGATCACTGAGTGAGCCTAGCGCCTGACAATATCAGATTCGGTAGTTTGAACAATCGGCAGTGACACTTGATTTTTCTATTCGTGACTAATAGGAAGTCATGTTTTTTTCAGAACACACAATCATGCCACACTTAGCTGCTTGCACACATCAACAGAGAATAAATACCCAGTTCACTCACAAATACGCAAGCAGAAAACATGGGCGCCCAAAGTACGAATTGCAAAGCAGAATGTGTGCTTGTGATGGATGGACTGACAGTCGACATGGTCAATTCACAATTCGGTCAGCTATAGTTTCAGCCTTACGAAATCTGAGGTAGTTGGTGTGCATTTATTCCCGTGATGTATCGAACCGAGCTGCAATACAACTATAATTATTATTGTCTGGACAAAGTACGGAATATTAGTAATTTCATACTAGAAGAATAGAGGAAAAATTATGATTAAGGTTTCTTGGGACAATACTGCAAAAAGTAAAATAAACTTATGGTTCTGTGCTCAAACTCAAAATTGTGACTACCGTGCATCAATCCGTTGGTTTTATTAACGACACGTAATCACTGAATCAAACTGGTACTAGCACGGCAATAGCCCACGTAACCGAGACACAAGGAAAAAACCACAGGAATAGCAGTTCGTGTATTGAAGAAAATCATGGGGATTGAATAGCATGTACAACACCAATTCAGTGGTCATCCAAACCTCGGCCAATCGCGTGATAGTATTTCTGTCGTTGTGCCACTTTTGTCTGGGTCGAGTGGTTTCTGATTTGTCGGTAAAATTGGTCTATGGTTTGTAG